GATATCCAATTTATACCAAGATAACTGGAAGTTCCTACTAATAAGAATCCCAATGAACCTAAAAAAAGAGTAAAAGCCCAACCTAAATTACTTATTTTTCTAGACCCAGGTCTAAGTTCGATCCATATATGTTTTGATTGCCAACTCATATTACATCCGATTTTATTTTATTTTATTGGAATTAAGAAAAAAACCATTAATTAGGAACTTTGCTATTTCAAAAGTAATTCTCATCAAACGAATATTTGTTTGATGAGAATCTAGCACTAGTTTGATGTAAACCTTTAGGGGTAATTCATAAACTTGGTTAGATAGAAAAAAATAACGCCTTAAGTCAATATGATTCCACAGATCTTCCTGTTATGATACAAAAAAAAGCAACTTACAAAAAAGGGAGGATCTCAATATATAAAATATCTAAAAATTTTTATTTTTCTTGAACAGTAATAAATAAATAAAACGTTTGCAATTGCCGGCAATACTAAGCCTACTAATGGTATAAAAAGAGACGGAAAGTCACTCATAGAAAAGGTATTTTTTTTACTATATTTATTTGTATCTGTGAGTTTTTATCTAACTATTTATATCAATCTAAAATCAATATAATTATTTTCTTTCACTCAAAGTTCAAATGAATTTGAACTTTGAATGAAAGAAAGTGCCCCGGTCATGAAACGTAAATAACTCACTAATAACGCTTTTTAGAAGATGACGTGGTACAATTAAGTCAAATGAACCCTTCTCAAATAAAAATTCAGCTTCTTGTGCCTCGTCAGGTATGGTTTGATTTAATGTTTGTTCAATTACTCTTTTGCCTGCAAATGCAATGTAAGCATTAGGTTCAACAATGATAATATCCCCTAACATACCGAAACTCGCTGTTACTCCACCAGCTGTAGGAGATGTAAGGATTGATATATAAAATAATCTTTTCTTCGATTGATAATTGTATAAAGCAGATGATATTTTAGCCATTTGCATCAAACTTAAACTTCCTTCTTGCATTCGCGCACCCCCGGACGCCGACACTATAATCAGAGGCAAAAAATTTTCTGTAGCGTACTCAATTAAACGGGTTATTTTCTCTCCGACTACGGATCCCATACTACCCCCCATAAACTTAAAAATCCATAACCCCTATTGCTACAGTAATACCGTTGACTTGGCCTAGACCTGTTTGAACAGCTTCGGTTAAGCCTGTTTCTATTTGATAAAAATCAAGATCCTCTTCATAAGAGTTTTCATAATTAGAAAATACTTGATAAAAGTATTTAGAAGGGTCTTTATAAGGGTATTCCGACGATTCTTCAGAAGAGTCTTCTGAAAAGTCTTCATAAGGGTATTCCAACGATTCTTCAGAAGAGTCTTCTGAAAAGTCTTCATAAGGGTATTCCGATGATTCTTCAGAAGAGTCTTCATCAAATTGAATGGGGTCCCGAGAAAGAATGTCTTCATCGAAAGGAGCCCACGTTTTCTCATCGATCAAAAAATCAATTCTATCTGAACTACTCAGTTGCAAATAATCTCCACATTCTTCACAAATATACTGTTTTAATTTAATAAGTTTTTTATAATATAATGTATCACAATTTTCGCATAGAAGCCACAAATGGTTAAATTTAGGATATTCTCTCCCAATGTGAGTTTGTCTACTTGAACTCTCGACTTCGCTCCTATTGCAGCTTTCACCATCAACAACGGACTCATTACTGAAACTGTCAGTACTATCATTTTCATTAGTAGTGATAGTAGTTCGCTCTATTTGCAACTTAATAGAATTTTCAACGGACTGAGCAATCTCAATCTGAGAGTTAGATTCGTTACTCACTTCATTCATTTGAGTGAGATTGCTTGAATTCGAAGAAAGATAAAAAGGTTCACTAAAGAAAGAGTGAGGATTTTTTGTTTCAAAAATATAATTTTCAATATTAAAATAGATGCAATAATTATTTCCAGTACTATCGCTAACTAGAAAAGTGTCATCTTTGATGACACTTTCACTATAGTTTAACTCGAAGACAGAATCAACATTACTGCAACCGTAATTGTCACGATCCTCCCAAGTCTGAATGTTTTCAAACATATCTTGCTTCTTCGTATCTTCATTTTGCCTGCTATTTTCTTCAATAGGACGGCTAACACCATCCATTGATTGAGTTAGCCCCCATCCACGTTCAAATTTCTTATCCAATGAATTATCCCCCCACATTTCCATAATTTTTGCCCCTTGTTTTTTGCATGAAAATACAATGCATGAAAATACAATAGAAAATAAAATAGCAATACATGGAATAGTCGTTTGATATAAAATATTCCTAAACTCAAAATAAAAAAACACAAGTTCTTTTTGAACAACTATCAGAATAAAAAGAGGAAACCCAAGCATTAAGGCTATTGCCTAAAATAATGGGTATGAGTATCCAAAAATGGAATTGCCTTTTATATAACTCTACCCCAATTACCAAATTTAACTATTTGTTCTTGCCTACCTATACCCAAATATAAATAAGAAGTTCATTAATATGTATAGATATCCGGCTCAATCTGTTTACTTTTTTTAGTATTTGAGTGATTTTAGTAAAAGATTGGGCCGAATTTAATTGCAATTCAGAAGAGAAGGGGGTTAGTAATTGCTTGAATTCCCTCTACCCATTCCCGAATAAGTTATCTGTATTTATCTCCTGCAGGAGCCTCCTTAGTATATCTTTCTTTCTTCTCATTTGGATCTAAGGTATCCACTGGTTTAAAGTCAAATTGAATCTCCTTCCATACCTCACAAGCAGCAGCTAGTTCAGGGCTCCATTTACTAGCCTGTCGAAGAATTTCATTGCCTTCCTGAGCAAGATCATGTCCTTCGTTACGAGCTTGTACACATGCTTCGAGAGCGACTCGATTCGCTACGGCACCAGGCGCATTACCCCAAGGGTGACCTAAAGTTCCTCCCCCAAACTGTAGTACGGAATCATCCCCAAATATCTCGGTTAGAGCAGGCATATGCCAAACGTGAATACCCCCAGAAGCCACAGGCATAACACCGGGTAAAGAAACCCAATCTTGAGTGAAATAAATACCACGACTTCGGTCTTGTTCAACAAAATCATCGCGTAATAAGTCAACAAAGCCCAAAGTCATCTCTCTTTCCCCTTCTAGTTTACCTACTACAGTACCCGCGTGAATATGATCTCCACCGGATAGCCGTAACGCTTTCGCTAGTACGCGGAAGTGTATACCATGAGTTTTTTGTCTATCAATAACTGCATGCATTGCACGGTGGATGTGAAGAAGGAGACCATTATCACGGCAATAATGAGCCAAAGAAGTATTTGCAGTGAATCCCCCTGTTAAGTAGTCATGCATTATAATAGGAACTCCCAATTCTTTAGCAAAGAAAGCTCTTTTTAGCATTTCTTCGCATGTACCTGCAGTAGCATTCAAGTAATGTCCTTTTATTTCACCTGTCTCAGCCTGGGATTTATAAATTGCTTCGGCACAAAATAAGAAACGGTCTCTCCAACGCATAAAGGGTTGTGAGTTTACATTCTCATCATCTTTGGTAAAATCAAGTCCACCACGAAGACATTCATAAACCGCTCGACCGTAGTTTTTAGCGGATAACCCCAATTTGGGTTTAATAGTACATCCCAGGAGAGGACGCCCATACTTGTTCAATTTATCTCTCTCAACTTGGATGCCGTGAGGCGGACCTTGAAAAGTTTTAGTATAAGCTGGAGGTATTCGAAGATCTTCGAGACGTAAAGCGCGGAGTGCTTTAAAACCAAATACATTACCTACAATCGAAGTAAACATGTTCGTAACAGAACCTTCTTCAAAAAGGTCTAAAGGGTAAGCTACATAAGCAATATATTGATCTTTTTCTCCAATAACACGCTCAATGCGATAGCATCGGCCCTTGTACCGATCAAGGCTGGTAAGTCCATCGGTCCACACGGTTGTCCATGTTCCAGTAGAAGATTCCGCAGCTACCGCGGCCCCCGCTTCTTCAGGGGGAACTCCAGGCTGAGGAGTGACTCGAAATGCTGCCAAGATATCAGTATCTTTGGTTTCGTAATGAGGAGTATAATAAGTCAATTTGTAATCTTTAACACCCGCTTTGAATCCAACACGTGCTTTAGTCTCTGTTTGTGGTGACATATATTCCTCCTTATAACTCATAAATTAATAATTCTGACAACAAAATGATCTACTCGACCTAAATTCTGCGTTAATTTTGCTTTTGGTCGGAATCGTTCACAAAATTCCTCCCGAGTACTCAATATTATCTATTATCAACTAAATCATAATTTTTTATTTTTAAACTCAAAGCATTTGAGTAATTTTTCAAATGCATCAATATTTTATACTCTTTTGTATATCTAGTGCAACCCAGTTTTTCAATTTCACTTTTTTTACACTACCTCTCTAACCTAATAAAAAAATCAAAAAAACTAATGGGATAGAAATAACAAATTCTAATGAAATACTTTTGAAATACTTTCCCAATATTTTTATTCCTCCACTTTAAAATAATTTAACTATTTCAGTTCCTTAATTCAACAAAAATTAAATTTATTAAATTTTAATTTATTGGATACTGGATAATATAAAAAAATACCAAGAAAATCCCCCCTTTTTTCTTATTACATTTATTGAATTAATCTTCCGCTTGCGGGCAGTGATTTGTAATTTGAAAAGTTTTTTAAATTTTTTTTTTATGGGAAGCACTCCTACGACTTCTGGTTCTGAGGTTTCCTCAATTGAAAAAAAAAATATAGGGCATATCGTCCAAATAATTGGTCCGGTACTAGATGTAGCTTTTCGCCCTGGTAAGATGCCTTATATTTATAATGCTCTAGTAGTTCAAGGGCGAGACAGTAAACAAACGAACGTGACTTGTGAGGTTCAACAATTATTGGGAAATAATAGAGTTCGAGCTGTAGCTATGAGTGATACAGATGGTCTAATGAGAGGGATGGAAGTGATTGATACGGGAGCTCCTATAAGTGTCCCGGTCGGTGGATCAACTCTGGGACGAATTTTCAACGTGCTCGGACACCCTGTTGATAATTTAGGGCCTGTCAATACTAATAAAAAATCTCCTATTCATAGATCTGCGCCCGCCTTTATAGAGTTAGATACAAAATTATCTATTTTTGAAACAGGAATTAAAGTAGTAGATCTTTTAGCCCCCTATCGCTGTGGAGGAAAAATAGGACTCTTCGGGGGAGCTGGAGTGGGTAAAACAGTACTCATTATGGAATTAATTAACAATATTGCCAAAGCGCACGGAGGAGTATCCGTATTTGGCGGAGTGGGTGAACGTACTCGCGAAGGAAATGATCTTTACGTGGAAATGAAAGAATCCGGAGTAATTAATGACCAAAATATTGCAGAATCCAAAGTGGCCCTAGTTTACGGTCAGATGAATGAACCACCAGGAGCTCGTATGAGAGTTGGTTTGACTGCCCTAACTATGGCGGAATATTTCCGAGATGTTAATGGGCAAGATGTACTTCTATTTATTGACAATATATTTCGTTTCGTCCAAGCGGGATCAGAAGTATCCGCCTTACTGGGCAGAATGCCTTCTGCTGTAGGTTATCAACCGACCTTGAGTACAGAAATGGGTTCTTTACAAGAAAGAATTACTTCCACCAAAGAGGGTTCCATAACCTCGATCCAAGCAGTTTATGTACCTGCAGATGATTTGACTGATCCTGCTCCTGCTACGACATTTGCACATTTAGATGCAACTACCGTACTCTCAAGAGGTTTAGCTGCTAAAGGTATCTATCCAGCAGTTGATCCTTTGGATTCAACGTCAATGATGCTGCAACCTCGGATCATTGGTGAGGAACATTATGAAACTGCGCAAAGAGTCAAGCAAACTTTACAACGTTATAAAGAACTTCAGGACATTATAGCTATCCTTGGGCTCGACGAATTATCCGAAGAAGATCGTTTAAACGTGGCAAGAGCACGAAAAATTGAGCGTTTCTTATCACAACCTTTTTTCGTAGCAGAAATATTTACAGGTTCTCCAGGTAAATATGTAGGTCTCGCTGAAACGATTAGAGGATTTCATTTAATCCTTGCTGGCGAATTAGATGGTCTTCCTGAACAGGCTTTTTATTTGGTAGGGAATATCAATGAAGTTACCGCCAAGGCAATTAACTTAAAAACTTAGAAATTTAAAAATAGGGAAGGATTTGAATAAATGAATTTAAAACTTTGTGTACTGACCCCTAATAGAATTGTTTGGGATTCAGAAGTGGAAGAAATCATTTTATCCACTAATAGTGGGCAAATTGGAATATTACCCAATCACACACCTATTGCCACAGCTGTAGATATAGGTATTTTGAAAATACGCCTTAACGGCCAATGGTTAACGACGGCACTGATGGGGGGGTTTGCTCGAATAGTGAATAATGAAATCACTGTTTTGGTAAATGATGCTGAAAAAGGTAGTGAGATTGATCCCCAAGAAGCCGAGCAAACTCTTAAAATAGCAAAAGAGATTTTAAAAAAAGCTGGAGGAAAGAGACAAAAAATTGAGGCAAATCTAGCT